GGTCTAAATGATCTACTGTTATTTTTTTAACTTTGCTTTGCTCAATTTCCCCCGTGCCTACATCTGTGACATACATGTGAAGGAGTGGAAAATAGGTGTGAAGACTTTGTCTCTACATTTGGGCATCTAGAGTTCAATTTTCTTGGTAAAAGCATTCACTTTATCCTAGAGATTCAGAACATTAGTGTCATAGCCTTGCATGGACAAATTTACATCATTCAGCTTGCTCAATATATTTGCAGGGTAGGCAAACTGAGCTAACTACACAGTATTGTCAAATACAAGAGGTAAGAGGGGATGAATGTTCAGAAAGAAACCTGTGAAATTCTGTGCATAATTCAAACACTCCGTCAAGTATTTTCCTTCTTGAAAGTCAGTGAACCTGTGTGAAGCAACAGTTGATGTTCTGACTTCATCTCTTCACACAGAGCATGAAACAGGTGAGCACTGAGTGGCCTGGGCTTGATGTAGTTGAGTTTTTGACAGATTCATTTCAAACTTCATGCAGCTGAGAACTCATCCTTTGCAGCAAGTGCCTTTCTGTGTATGGTAAAAAGCACCCACTACTAAGCAGGACTTTCTTTCCTGTTCCTACTTACAAGTCCCTTTGCTTTCCCAGACACTGCAGCAGCCCCATTGGTGCAGAGAAATTTGCATACATTCCAACACAAATCATGTTTAGAAATAAAAAATCAGTTTAGAAATGTCCGCTGCAGCTGATATTGTTTTGCAAAAGTATAAAGGCAATATGTTGATATCAGTGTTTTCAAGGTATCGAACATAAGCAATCAGCTGAGCTTCTCCACTAACATCTGGGGACTCAAATTGAAGGACAAATGTTTTGGCCTTTTTAATTTTCTCCACAAATTTAGAGACTATCCTTTTCCATTTCTTCAGTTCTATGACATATAGTGTCATTTGATAAGGGTACTACCATTTTGAGGGTGTCGACTGCTTTTTTTATAAAGTATGTTTTCTGCAAGCACCACAGCGGCAGGCAGAATCAGATCTCCTGCAACTGTATTTGGCATCTTTGATTTTGTTACAAGAAGAGAGACAGCATGCAAAATTTTGAGTGCTTTTTGTAAAGCTAGTGGAAGCTTTTTTTCATTTGTAGCTGGCATGTCTGGAACTCAGAGCTTTCTTTGAAAACTGGCTCAACTGCATGTACAAGGTGTTTTCCCTTCAAATGTCCTTCCAAATATGCTGCCTTTATACTGTTTTTTTTAATCAGTGTTTCTATGCAAATGACACACAATGCTTGAGGTGGATTGCAATTCAAGAATGTGAATCCAAAAGCAATATATTCCTTGCAAATCTGATTATGGGGTTTTTTTCAGTAATTTTCAATTTCTTACAATGTTCACTGTTGCCATGATTGCTGCTTCCAGCTCCTCCTTTTAAAAATCTATCAACTTTTACATCACAACTACATAGGCACTATGACAACTTCAACCTAATTAATGTGCTTGCATGCATCAATTAATTACATTAGATGTGAGTTTTGTGTCTACACCTTATGTTACCATATAGACATATGATGTAGAGCAGTACACACAAATTGTATGAAAGTTCAGTTTGTGCTGACTTTACTAGTGCTGTTTATGTAGCCTGTTGTAAAACTAGCCAAATATCTACAGCCTCTCCCCGAGTTACGAATAAGTTACGGAACAAACATTTGGCCGTAACTCAATCCGTTCGTAATTCGGACCCCATTGAGTTACACACGACCGCGCTGTTCGTAAGTGCGGGTTGCGTTCGTAACTCGGGGACTGCCTTTACGACTGCTCCATGGGAGCTTTGGTCGTAAGTGCAAACGGTCGTAACTCGACCGTTTGTAACTCAGGGAGCGGCTGTAGATGAGTTGACGCCTCCCCCCAGAAGATGTCTGTGTACCCCCAAAGGTTCAAGTATGCCGGGTTGAGAGCCACTGGTATAAAGAGCATAGTTTCAATGAGAACAGGGCCTTTATGAATCAATACAATTAGAGAATTGTTGTGCTTCTGTATCTCTACAGCATTTCATCCTGTAACAAGGTGACTTTTCTATGAACCAGAAACAGAATTTCTATTGATTTCAGTGCCTATAAGATCAGGCCATTTAGAAACTAATAGGAAAGTTCTGGGATGTGCCCATCCCAATAGGAATCACTCCTGTCACTACATTAAGTGTTTTAGAGGCTTTACTTTAACAAGCTCAATTGCCTTAGACACTTGAAAAGTAGTTGTGCACTCTTCATGCTCTGCTCTGTCTTTCTTGTCAGTTGTAGGCAGTGCTGGTGCAAGATATGTCTGTACTTCACTCACCTTTACTGTCATTTCTTTCTCTGTACTCTCATTAGGGCTCTTGCAGGGAAGTGTCGATAGGCCCACTGCCCCGCAAGGGAGGGAAAGTGGTAATTATAAGAGCTTCTATGTGTTCTGCTTAGCTAGCACTGTCTGTTTGTGGGGCCCTGCTGACCCCTTCCTACCTCTTTCAACACAGTGAAACTCAGGCTGTGGCTCTTTTGCCTTGCTCCAGGCTCTCCCCGGGCAGGTTTTCCAACAATAGCTCCCATGTAAAGACCTACTCTGGCTCATGACAGTGTAAGTCTGCAAGTGAGTCTGGCTCTTTGTTTATTGATGATATATACACTAATACAGCCACCTTAGACAGACTAGATGAAATTCACCCCACTCAGAGGGCCTATCCATTGGCTTAAGACCTGGTTTGACCACCTAAGTACAGTATTTGGCCTTTGTGTTGGCTTTCTGCACAGAAGTGAATGTCACCCACTCATGAAATGTAATTTCCCCTTAATATCTTTCCCTTCCTAGTCCATTATTGGATCGGTTTCCACCCACAGCTTCTATTAGTCATCCAAAATCATTGCAGCTTAAACGTGATTATAACCCTGGTCAAGCACTTGTACATGTATGGTAGGAAACTTTTATATCTTTTGTTACAATATCTGGGGTTCTCTGAACTAACTCAAAAATTATCTATATGGCCTGGTTTATAGTGGCATGAGCAAGTATAATGTTACTAAATCTACTACTCAAATGCTTTTTCTATCCAGACATAAACTGAGAGATTTAATGGAAATTTCCCTCTTTTCTATTAAATTTCCTCCAAATCCTATTTGATTTCTATTATCAGCTATTCAGCCTTTGTTTTCCTTACAGCAGGAGTGGGGAACCTTTTTTGGGACAAGAGCTGCACACAAGTGAGAAGCAAAAGAAGCGGCATGGGGGAGATACTTGGGGGAAGGAGTGGGGTGGGAGCATGTTTGGGGTGGGGATGGAAGAGGAGTGTTAAGAGGCAGGGTGAGGGTGGAGCACAGGAAGAAAGGGGTGTGGGAGTTTGGGGGAAGAGGTGAATTTGGGGCAAGGACTGGGGCAGAGCCTGACAAATTACAAAGTTGGTACCTTTGCACATGACCATATTAGCTAAAGATCTAATATACTTGCACGCTTTCATGGTTCTCCATTTATCTCAAATGAAGAAACACAAGTCTGAATGTGCGCATGAAAATGCTTTTAGAATTCACAGTGTCAAAATTTCTAAACCAGTTTCCATAAAACAAGTCAAGTTTGAACAAAACACGTTCAAGCATTATTGATTTATTCATGGCTAATGTTTCTCGTATAATGAATGGTTTTTCTTTTGTTATGCAAACAGCTCAAAAATCTGAATGGAGTTTGCACAAACATTTCAGAGATGTTTAGGTCAGCAGGGTCCATTGTGATCATTCAGTTTGATCTCCGATAAGCCATTGAATTTCCCCCAAAGACTTTCTAAAGCAGGTCTTTCTGGGTGCGTTTACACTGCACCCATAGCTCATAATAAGCTACGCAATTTGAGCTATGCAAATTGTGTAGCTTATTTCGAGTCCATTTCAAAATAACCTGCTATTCTATAACATCTCTTACTCCTCATGTAAGGAGGTTTACAGGGACGTTGGAGTAGCAAGCCCATTATATTTCAAAATAACGGGCTTGCTGTTAAGACACAGGATACCTCCAGTATCCCGAAGTGTCACTGCAGTGTAGATGTAGCCTCAGAAAATATCTAATCTTGATTTAAAAATGGGCAGTGATAGAAAAATCACCATGACCCATGTTCCCTGTAAGATGAGTGCTTTTGTAACACCAACATGCAGAACCAAACCTGGGACCTCTGGAGCTTAGTGCATGAGCCTCTACTGATTGAGTTAAATTTATATTTTCTCTCTGTGTGTGTGTGTGTGCGCGCGTGTGCTCCTGCTTCCCATGGGCAATCTTTTTTTAAGGAAGTTATGACCAGCTTCAAAAGAGTTTATAAGGAGTCTTGCCTTCCAGCCAGGAGTCAGATCTAAAGCTGGTTAATACTGGCCCAGCAACATTGTAATCAGTATAACTCTGCTGATTATTACCAGCTGACCAGTTGACTTTTTACTGATACGGGTTGCTACCATTCCACCTGGAAAGCTGAAAACAAACCACGAATTTTGTAAGTATGTCGCCTATAGATTGTCATAAATGAAATGCTGCATGGGATAACATTTCTTTCTGACAAGCACAATCTGGATCCTTAATGGGTTGTCTGTGTCATTACAAATGCTACTATTCACTTTTTATCTCCAAAGTGTACTTTGGTTCATCTTTTCTTCATCCCATAAGAATGAGACCCATACATTCCAACAGAACCCCTATTCACCATAATGCTAACATGTATTTATATGTTTTAATGTTTAGTCATGTATTTAGACTCCTAAGGTACTTATCTAGCTGGCACTCAACACCATGCTATTAGTATTTCAGCTCTGGAGAAGGACTCTTTAAATGTATAGCAAACTAACAAACAAACAGGAGGGACATTGTAATTTAATAGAGACATCACAGCAAAGGATTTTCCCTCAAATCTCTCTTTTGATTTAAGGGAATTTGTTAGGTTTGATCTGATTTTTAAAGCTTCACTTGTATTCTGTTAGTTTTTTAATGTATACTTATAGATTTTTTTCTTTTTCTCTTATTTTCCAGGTCCTGCCAGCCTTGCCCAACTATGTCGGTTGTGTATCAGGAAGTGTCTGGGTCGCTCATGCCTTTATGTAGTCCACAAGCTGAATCTTCCTGAGCCACTTGAAAAATTTCTTTTATATCGATAGCTCCACGAGTGTCTATGAGATGATCGCCAGGGGAGGAACAGAATGCCTGTTTACCACAAATATATCAAATCAGGGTGAAAAATGAAGACATCATTTACTGCTTATAATAGGTACCAAACTACTTTACTGCTGACATAACAGGACTCCCTGACACAGTACTTCTATATGTTGAAGCCACTGGAAACTGTTTTGTAGCCCAGTGCATCTTACCATGGAAAGGATACCCTCACACTTCAGAGTTAGTCCACTGATCTTAGATAAGAGATTCACATACACAAACTACTGATTTATATGGGTGTGCTTGTGTAGGGGGGAGAATTAATACACCCAAACAGCTGATTGTGGGCAGATATCATAGAATACTAGAACTGGAAGGGACCTCGAGAGGTCATCGAGTCCAGTCCCCTACCCTCATGGCAGGACCAAATACTGTCTAGACCATCTCTGATAGACATTTATCTAACCTACTCTTAAATATCTCCACAGATGGGGATTCCACAACCTCCCTGGGTAATTTATTCCAGTATTTGACTACCCTGACAGTTAAGAATTTTTTCCTAATGTCCAACCTAAACCTCCCTTGCTGCAGTTTAAGCCCATTGCTTCTTGTTCTATCCCCAGAGGCCAAGATGAACAAGTTTTCTCCCTCCTCCTTATGGCACCCTTTTAGATACCTGAAAACTGCTATCATGTCCCCCCTCAGTCTTCTCTTTTCTAAACTAAACAAACCCAATTCTTCCAGCCTTCCTTTATAGATCATGTTCTCTAGACCTTTAATCATTCTTGTTGCTCTTCTCTGGACCCTTCCCAATTTCTCCACATCTTTCTTGAAATGCGGTGCCCAGAACGGGACACAATACTCCAACTGAGGACTAACCAGCGCAGAGTAGAGCGGAAGATGTGTGTGTGGGGTATGCAAACCACCTTAAATATGATTCAGTTATGTCAACTACTCTATGGCAAAACTGTATCAAAATTCTGAGACTGAAGAAACTCATGCTGAAGAAGTTTAAATTAAGCCACAAGAAATAACTCATTTTCTCCTGTCTTTCCTTTCAAGTGCAGCAAAAGTGTACATGAATCCCAGACTTTAAGATTTCAGGAAATAAAACCTTAAATAAAAATATCAAAGGAGAATGGAGCCCCCAAAGATTAAACACATTTAAGGGGTGGTAGGTTCTTTCCTTCTGTCATTCCCACTCTGTTTGGCTCTCAGCAACTTCATTAGTGAAAGAACTCTTAAACTTTATTATGGCTTTAGCCTTCCCATTATTAGTTCAAAAGCCTGTGGGCTAGGAAAGTGAATAAAGTCTAGACAGAAGGCATACTTTAAGTTTTGTTTTGTTTTGACCAGAGGTTGGTTGATTAATGGAAGGAGTATTTCTTCAGTCTCAGAGTTTAGGTACACTTTTGCCATAAACATGGGGTAGTGATGGCTCATTTAGGGTACGTCTAAACTACATGCCTCCGTCGACGGAGGCATGTAGTCTAGACACACCCATAGATTCACCAAAGCTGAAGAGGGATTCCAGCTTCATTTTGTTATCTGAACGTGTTAAGGGTTTCAGGAAAAACAATACATGTTCAGTCTCTGACCAAACAGTTTTCAATATAAGCCACAAAGGAAAATAAAAAGAAATAATGTGAGAAACAGGCATGGTCTAATGCAATGGTTCTCAACCTTTCCAGACTACTGAACACCTTTCAGGAGTCTGACTTGTCCTGTGTACCCCTAAGTACTTCTGTTTGTGAAAACTAGTGTGAATGCAGGACTGGAAGCAAGGAACTCCTGAGCCTTAACCATTGCTCTGACAGAAGCAATATCTTTGACTTTGGACTTGTCACTTAACCTCTTAAGGCTATGTTTACACTACGGAGTTTTTCTTGGATACTGGAGGTATCCCGGAAAAACTCCACTGCATCCAGGGAACATGTCTGCTCTTCTGAAGTTTTTTTCAGAAGATCAGACACGCTCTTTCAGAATCACTGTATTCCTCATTTTATGAGGAATAAGGGCTCTTGCAAAAGAGGAGGTTTTTCCGATATTTGGCCCAGTGTAGATGGGCCAAATGTCGGAAAAGCCTCTTCCAAAAAAGAATCAGAAAAAGGTACTCAAATTGCAGAGTGCACTCTGTGTACCTTCCCCCCCAAAAAAACAATCACCTAGCAGTGTAGATATAACCATAGCTGCAGTTTGCTATCTGTAAAATGGGAATAATATGTCATTTCAGCGCACAGAAGATGAAAAGTGCTAGATATCATTTTTTCCCTCAGATCAAGCAAAACAGACCTGGGATGTTATAACTGAAGTTAAGTGCATTTTCCTGCCTGTAAAAATAGTCTGTCTGCACAGTTTGGATTTTTTCCCCATTGCCATTAATAGCAAGAGTGATTTTAAAGGGTCAACAAAGTTTTCACTGAATGTAAGTATTTCCTCATATGACACAGGGCATACGTCAGGGCATTCTGTGAGTTGAATTAGCATTTGGTGCAAACTTTCAGGACCTCTCAAAACCTGAAAAGACTGTGTTCTTTTTCTGTCAATGTCACTCTCCTTATCTTTATCTAACCTGCCCTATTTTAGAGCATCAGAACATCTATGTGACATCTGGTATCTAAATGGAGAGCCAGACACCTAGCTGATATCAACTGTCATAGTTCCATTGAAATTAGGTGAGCTACAACAATTTAGCTGAGCTAGGATCTGCTTCAGAGTGTATAATAAACACTTGTTTTTCTTACATGTGCAGCAATTAATACAATATGTAATTTACACGGACTTTAATTTAAAATAATATATATTCCTTGTAGGAATGCAAATCCTAAGCAGTAACTCTGGAAGGTATGCATTCTGTAGTATCAGTTGCTACTCGCTAATTATAGTTAAAACTATCTTCCTGTCATAAAATCAGATTTTAACCCCACACCTCATCTTTCCCCCAAATGCTGTTCTTCCTGAAATTTCACCTGCCATATCTTAGTTCCAAAAACAGGTTTTTGAGAAGTTTGGTTAAAAAAAAAATCAGAAAACAAAATTTACAGTTAGGATGTCTTGAAATGAAATTAGAAGTTCGCTTGATATGGTGTCCAAACTTTTTTTCTCTAATCTAATGATTGCCTGGTCTAAAAAACTTTGTAATTTTGTTGACTGTATTTTGTTTTGTGACAATTTACAGAACTATTGCTCTGGACAGTGGTGGGCAAAATATGGCCCGTGGGCCAGATCCCACCCCCACCCACGCTGCAGGATCCAGCCTGCGAGAGCCTCAGCCCAGCTCCCTACCTGCCCTGCATTCTGCTCAGAGCAGCTTTCTGAGCTTTGCAAACCTGGGGAAAGGGGAAAGAGGCTTTTGCACACTACCCCCAGCACAACCATGCAGCTCCCAATGACCAGTTTCTGGCCAATGGGCGCTGCCTATTTTCAGGACAGGAAGTGTGCAATATGCTCCTCCCCCATCTCCATAGGCTCGTAGCATTCAGAGCAGCACACGTGGCCCTCACCTTAGTGAGGAACCTGCTGGGCATGGCTGCTGGCCCCTCCTACTCTCCTCTTCCAAGTCACAACCCTTTCCAGACCCTGCACCCGCTCTTACACCCTTCATCCAGCTCATAATGCTCTCCTGCACCCATACTCCTTTCCGAATCCTGCATTCCCTACTTCACCCCAGTCTCCTGCTGCAGGTCACAACCCCCTCCTTTACCCAAACTCCCTCCCAGATCTGACACCCCCTTCTGCACCCTAATTCCTTAACCCTTCTACACCCAACCTCCATCCCAGACCATGTACCTTCTCCATTAATAACATGGAAGAGTGCAGCTCTTGATCTTACCAAATTCTTGGAGTGGCCCCCCATCACAGGGTATACCCCTAGCATGGGGTGCACCCCCCCTTACGGTCCCGTCGCCTGCTCTATCAGAGTGACTACAACCCCAGCAGTCCCCACATAAAAGTCCAGGCCCTCTATCAGGGCATATACAGTATTTGCGGCCTACCTCCGGGAAAGGCCTCTCCTGGCTCAGTCCCCACATAAAAGTCCAGGCCCTCTATCAGGGCATATACGGTATTTGCGGCCTACCTCTGGGAAAGGCCTCTCCTGGCCGGGGGTGATTGCCCAGGTGCGGAAAGGGGTACTGGGGGGACCCGGGCCCTCTCTCTCCACCGGGTCCCAGCCCAGGGCCCTGTAGGCAGGGACTCTTGCTCCTGCCTGCTCAGTGGGGCATCCGGCCGAGCTGTGATAGCAACCCCTTGCTCTGGGCTGCTTCCTACACCCTGGCACCCCCATAGTCTGTCCGCCTCGGCGTCTGTCCTTACCGGGGCCAGGGATGGCAGTGTAGGTGGTCTGGTCCCTCAGGCGAGGTTGGCTGCTGGCTGCACTCTCGGAGGCTGATGCGGGCCCTCGCTCTGGCCTCAGCTGCTGCTGGAACACTGAGGTTGCGGCCTGGACACTTCTACCCTCCAGCCGCCTCCTCTCCTGCCTTTATATTCTGGCTCTGCTGGGAGCATGCCGAGCAGGGCTGGAGGGGCGGGGCTCTTTCCGTCAGCTGGGCCTGGGCTGCTCCCAGCCCTTCAGTGCGGGGCCGTTTGCCCCGTCTCACCCCCCATCAAAAATTATTCCCCACCTCTGGCTTAGGACATTGCAGTATGTGGTCTTTTAATTCCTCCCTCCCTCCCCCCACTATATCCCTTACATCATCTACCCAAATCTGCTGTTTGGGTGAATCATCTTTCATGGGGACAAAGGAATTGCTGTGCTGGAATATCTAGTGGTCCATCTAGTCTGATATTCTTTTTTTCCAACAGCAGCAAACATCAGGTGGTTCAGGGAAAAGTGCAACAAATTAGTGGGTAATTATGTAATTTCATGCCCCTAGGGCTAGTTTCTTTTGTAATCACAGGCAGTTTGTATTTGCCTTATGCTTTAAAGCATGAGGTGGAATCGTGGAAGTTCTTCATTATCCATATAATGATATGATAATTTTTTTGTAGGGAACAAACACCATATCTTTTATTAGACTAACTTCTGTTGGTGGGAGAGACAAGCTGTTGTGCTTATATACAGAGCTTATCTTCAGCTGAAATTGGTCCAAATAAAAGATAATACCTCGCCCACCTTGTCCCCGCCTATGAAAAGTAGTTATGTGGTAAATCAGCCAATTTCTACTGTTTGTTTTTCTGCAAGATGAACAAAAATAAGTGTACCCTAGTGGGCTATAAGTGAATACTCGAGGAAAAACTTGCATACCTCCAAGCTCCTCAAATCACAGATACAAATTCCTGCTTTCTGAATGGCTTGTCAGTAGTGAACATGGCCTTTTCCTGGATCAATAAGTAAAACTCCTTGTATACATTTTTGTTTAAAAGGGAAAAAGTGGTATA